TCTGGGGACGCGTGGTGGCGGTGCTTTGTCCCTAAGCAGGGCTCTCGTGCCGCGTCACGTCCCCAAACCTTCTGCCGTCACGTCCCCAAACCTTCTGCCACCGTGACCCCATATCTCCTGCCACCGTGACCCCAAACCTTCTCCTTCCGTGACCCCAAACCTTGTCCCACCATGAATCCACCCCTTCTCCCACCATGTCCCCATCCCTTCTCCCACCATGATCCCAAATCTTCTTGCACCATGACCCCATCCCTTCTCCCACCATGACCCCAAACCTTCTCCCACCATGTCCCCATCCCTTCTCCCACCATGATCCCAAACCTTGTCCAACCACAACTTCATCCCTTCTCCCACTGTGTCCCCATCCCTTCTCCCACCATGTCCCCATCCCTTCTCCCACCACAACCCCAAACCTTGTCCAACCATGACCCCATCCCTTCTCCCACCATGATCCCAAATCTTCTCCCACCGTGTCCCCATCCCTTCTCCCACCACAACCCCAAACCTTGTCCAACCATGATCCCATCCCTTCTCCCACCATGATCCCAAATCTTCTCCCACCGTGTCCCCAAACCTTCTCCCACCACAACCCCAAACCTTGTCCCACCATGACTCCATCCCTTCTCCCACCATGACCCCATCCCTTCTCCCACCATGATCCCAAACCTTGTCCAACCACAACTTCATCCCTTCTCCCACCGTGACCCCATCCCTTCTCCCACCACGACCCCAAACCTTGTCCGACCATGACTCCAGCCCTTCTCCCACTGTGACCCCATCCCTTCTCCCACCATGATCCCAAACCTTGTCCAACCACAACTTCATCCCTTCTCCCACCGTGTCCCCATCCCTTCTCCCACCACAACCCCAAACCTTGTCCAACCATGATCCCATCCCTTCTCCCACCATGATCCCAAATCTTCTCCCACCGTGTCCCCAAACCTTCTCCCACCACGACCCCAAACCTTGTCCCACCATGACTCCATCCCTTCTCCCACCATGACCCCATCCCTTCTCCCACCATGATCCCAAACCTTCTCCCACCGTGACCCCATCCCTTCTCCCACCATGATCCCAAACCTTCTCCCACCGTGACCCCATCCCTTCTCCCACCACGACCCCAAACCTTGTCCGACCATGACTCCAGCCCTTCTCCCACTGTGACCCCATCCCTTCTCCCACCATGATCCCAAACCTTCTCCCACCATGACCCCATCCCTTCTCCCACCGTGTCCCCAACCCTTCTCAAGGTGGCTTCTGCCTTGGAGCCTTGATCCTCTCCTGAGGCCGCCTGGCTCCTGGCTGACCGTTTCCCTGAGCTGTGACTCGTGTGGTTCCTGCTCCACGTTAACCCCCTCCCGGCCGGAGAGGGCTGCTGGGGATGGTCTCTCTCCCCAACAGATCTGGAGTCAATCAAGCAAGAGGAGAAATGGGAGCAGGATGCTCCTGAGGAAGCGGACGCACCGGTGGAACCCCCAACCTCCAACCAGCAGCAGTCCCCAAGGACCCATCCTGGGGAATCCCCTCTCCCAGGGGACAACGGGGGCGATGAGGCACCCAACACCTGCCGGGAATGCGGGAAGAGCTTCCGTTGCCGCTCGGCGTTGGTGAACCACCATCGGATACACACGGACGAACGACCCTTCGGCTGCCAGGATTGCGGACGCCGCTTCAACCGTCGCTCCAACCTGACCACCCACCGACGCATCCACACCGGTGACATGCCCTACAAGTGTCCCGACTGCGGGAAGTGCTACCGCGTCAGCTCCACCCTCCTCCGGCATCGGAAGACGCACACGGATGAACGACCTTACCGGTGCGAGGAATGCGGGAAGAGCTTCAGGCACAGATCGACGTTGACCATCCATCACCGCGTGCATTCGGGGGAGAGGCCCTACAAGTGCCCCGAGTGCCAAAAGACCTTCAAGAACAGCTCGGAGCTGGTGCGGCACGGGCGGATCCATACCAGCGAGCGACCCTACGATTGCTCCCAGTGCGGGCGGCGTTTCGGCGACAGCTCCCAACTGGTGCGGCACTGGCGGACCCACACCAGCGAGCGACCCTACAGCTGCTCCCAGTGCGGGCGGCGTTTCAGCGACAGCTCCCAGCTGGCGCGGCACCAGCAGACGCACGCCGTCAAGCGCAAGCATCCCAACCCAACCTGCGGGAAGAGCTTTTCCAACCATCCCAGGCTCGCCAAGCACCAACTCGCGCACAACGATGAGAGAGATTTCCGCTGCCCCGACTGCGGCAGAGGCTTCAACCGTCGCTCCAACCTCGTGGTTCACCAGCGGTCCCACCTGGAGCAGAAACCCTATATTTGCCTGGATTGCCCCAAAAGCTTCACCAGCAGCACCCAACTCATCCAGCATCGGCAGATCCATAGCGAGGAGAAGCCTTAGGGTTGCGCCGAGCGCGGCAAGAGCTTTTGGCACAGCTCCGGTCTCGTCTCGCGTCGCAAGAGGCGCCAGCTGAGGATGGGGACCACCCCACCAGGGACCGTCCCCATCCCGGTGGCATCTCAGACCTACGCACGCATCACGGTGGTCCCTGGTGGTAGCACCGAGGGGTAACCAACCCATCCACCCTCATCCCACCAGCTATTATTTTTCTTTCTCTATATGTTTTTATATATGAAGGGGTTTTTTTGGGGGGTGGTTTTTTAAAAAACACACCCCCATTCTGTTTTTTTGCCTTAGATTATAGATAAGGGGAAGGGAGGGGAGACCCATGAGCTTCACCCAAGAAAAAAGAAATCACCGTAAAATGTTTTTTTTTCTAGATGTCTCAGTTCAATTGCTTTATTTTTTCAACCCTATTTAGGGTCTTTTTAAGGGATGGGGATGGAGCAAAAGAAAATCACAGCCAAAATAAAAGCATTTGCGTGTTGGCACCTGTGCGGGTTTTGGCTGGGCTAGAGTTAATTTTTTTCGCAGTAGCTAGCATGGGGCTGTGTTTTGGATTTGTGCTGGAAGCCGCGTTGATGACACGGGGATGCTTTCGTCATCACCGAGCAGCGCTTACACAGAGTCAAGGCCTTTTCTGCTTCGCAAGCAGGCTGGGGACGCACGAGACGCTGGGAGGGGGCACGGCCGGGAGAGCCGAGCCCAACTGGCCCAAGGGATGTTCCACGCTGTACGACGTCATCCCCAGCACGTAAAGCCGGGGCAAGAAGAAGGGAGGACGTTCGGAGCGATGGCGTTTTGTCTTCCCAAGTCACGGTTACGCGCGATGGAGCCCTGCTTTCCTGGAGATGGCCGAGCACCCGCCTGCCCGTGCGAAGCAGTGAATGAACCCCTTGTTTTGCTTACCTTGCGGGCGCAGCTTTTGCTTTACTTATTAAACCGTCTTTATCTCAACCCACGAGTTTTCCGATTTTTATTCTTCCACTTCTCTCCCCCATCCCAGAGCGGGCGGCTCTGGGGTACTTTGATGCCAGCTGGGGTTAAACCACGGCGGCATCGTTGAGTATCTCTGTGGGGCGACGAAGCAGGGGCTTCGTTTTGGGCCCCTCAATACAAGGAGGACGTGGAGGTGTTGGGGCGTGTCCAGAGAAGGGCAGCGGAGCTGGGGAAGGGTCTGGAGCACCGGGCTGCGGTG